TAATTGCGCCGAGTTTTAAAAGGTCCTATAAATGTAATTGGTATTTTAATACAAGTTATCAAATCATACAGCTTCCTCTCCTGAACATATTTTCAAACAAACGAGGTAGTCATATTTAAAGCTTTAATGATCAATTTCCTTATTATTGATAAAGGTTTAACTGTTGTGTGCAGGGAATTGGCTGGGTAGCCGGCCCCCCAAAAAATGGCTGTAAACTCTTTAACAAACTATAAAACGCAATAAAGCCAGAGTCTGTTGTTGTTTATGCCGCAGCACATAAAGGCTGTTAGCATTTTACGAGTTCTTTCCTCTACAGCTATAAAACTGCAGTTCCATCGCCCCCGCCGCCCGACTGCAGCACGGTGGGGTGACGAAGCCGAAATGAGAACGATTATGGGGTTTGGGTTTTTTTGTTTGGGGGGGTTTTTGGGGGCGCAAACGGTGGCTTTTCTGAGCTTTTCGCCTCCTTCAGCCAGCAGGCACCTGCCCCCAAGGCTGCTCTGGAGACCCCAGCTGTCCCCTCTTGCCCCGCCCAGGCCACTCACAGAACTTTGCCCTCATTAAACAAACCAGCCAGGGCTTTTCTGTGGAGCAGGGGTCTAGGAAGTCTCAGGGAGGGCCATGGAGGAGAAGAAGAAACTTTCTGGCAGATGGGCAGAATTCTGGTTTCCCCCAACCTCTGCTCACTGGGGGAGGGGGCGCTGGGGTCGCCTTGGCTGCAGTCAGTGCTTTGTGGAGCCGACTGCATGAGGGGAGTAGGGTCTGAGGCCACCAAAGAGGGGCCGCACCGATGGGGGCACCGGGCCTTGGGGCCCAGGAACTAAGCCCAGCCGGCTGCAGCTTCCCCCAGCAGGGAGCTCCGGTGCCACCCACACATCAGAGCCAGGGAGGAGGATGCCTGGAGGGGACCTGGACGCCAGGCCCTGACACTGGGCCTTGGCCGCTTCTGTCCTGACCCTTCTGCTGCTGTGGACAGTGGCAGAGATGAGGGAGGGACCATTACTCCTCTGTCCCCGAGAGCCAATGTCACTCCCTACACCACTTTGCGATGAAGGGGGGCTGCTGAGCTCCCCATTTTCTCTCTTCTCCCCTTGGGGAGCCTCTAGTGAACCTGGCTCTCCCTGCAGGCCTGGGGACCTGAGGCCTGGGCTCTCAGAATGCAGGCCGAGCTGGGTGGAGGGGAAGGTGAAGGGCTGGGTCACTGCCTCCCTTGCCTACCTGGCCTGGGGACGCCGGTGGCCAGGCTCAGAAGGCCTGGCTCTGAGAGTCAGGACCCACCCAGGGGCGCCTCAGGCAGCCAACGGGCAAAGGGAGGCCGAGGAAGGAAAGAGAGAGAGGGAAAGCACGTTTCCAGCAACAGAGGCGGAAGTGCTTCACACACAAGTCCAGTTCATTGTCTACTCAGGACTCAGTAGTTGGCTTTCCGAGGGGCGCCCTGTGAGAACCCCAGACACCCCAACCTCAGTGAAAATGAAACCATCACCCTTTCCAAAGAAGAGTTACCAGGAGGGTCACCACAGTCCTTCAAAATGGAATCTAAGAGCCGAGCGACAGAGGTGCAGAAAGGGAGCGAAAAGCAGAGGCGAGAAACAGGTCTGGGTTTCAGCTGGGGCTGAGGGGCGGCGGGCGGAAGCCAGGGTCAAGTTGTTGAGGAAATGAACATTTTTATCAAGTGCGGGGGATTTTATGGTCATGATTTGAGGACTCACCTGTGAGGCAGAAATTCAATGGCTTGTTCTAAATCATCCCTACACGATGCCAGAAATTTCTGAAGGAAGGGAAATGTTTCTATTACAAGAAAAAACAAGAAAGAGCCGAGCGATAATTTATAAACACCCAACGGAGCACAGATTTATTGGAGAAACTCAAGTTGAGGAGAAACTCCTCTCGCCTCTTTGCACCCGATCCTGGGAGAAGGGGAAAGAGGCCGAGGCTGGGGCGGTAGGGAGAGGGTGGGTGTCGGGTTTTCTCGCGCAGTTTTGTGGGGAAGGGAGGCTGGGATCCGGCTGGGCCGGGAGGTGATTGCAGGTTTGGAACCCGGCGGCAGACTGAAAGCCGGCCTGGGAGCGACGGAGAGCGCTGGAGTCCAGGCCTCCGGCTGCTGCTGGGTGATGGAATCCCCGGCGCCCCAAGCTTTGCCTGCTCGGGTTGCCGCTGGTTTCGGGGAGCGCGGGAGCCGCCGATCTCACCTGGAAGCCCTGGAGCGCCGCCGGGGACACCCGGAGACCCCGAGCTCCGGCGCCCCACGTTAGTGCCTGCTCCCACACCTATCCGGAAAAGGTGCTTTTCTGGGGAGGACCAACTTGGGGTGCGCAGAGCACCCCAGGAGATATCCCGAGCTTCCCGCGTCCCGCCTCCTTGGAGATCCCGGTCCTCCTGGGGTTAGCCACGAGCGTCCAGCGCGCACCCAGACGCGTACAAAGGCTCCGGATCCTGCTCCCATGCGGGGCGCGCAGCCAGCTTGGGGCGCCTCCGCATCCCCGCAAAACTAGGGCTCTGTTCCCCCCCAAATTGGGGGCCTCGCGCTGGCTCGCCGGGTTCCCTTGGCAGCCCCTCCCCGTGCCGCGGGCCCCTCTCACCTGTCCTGGTCCCCCGCTTCGTGGACGGTTGTCTGCCCCCCTGCACGAAAAAGCTAATTTTTTTTCCAAATCAAGCTTCCTCTTGATTTGCACCCATTATTCCTATTATTACTATTATTCACCGTTTTCACGCATTCGTTGCCCCACCGAGCACAGCAACTGGGCGAGAAACACCGCGAACCTCCTCGCGGGGGAAATTCACAAAACTGACCATTTGAGGAGCGGTAGGGAGGGGGACATCACTATCACCAAAACCTATAAAATGGGGGGGAAAGGGCTATAATGATCCCTATATTTTTATTTCGTGCAAATTATTCATGACTTTTGGTACCGCTCAGTTCTTAGAAGCAGGGCCGCACAGGGTGCGGAAAGGAGGCACCGGAGCCGCCAGCCACGGCGAGGGAGGTTTTCACGTGGAGCGCGGGTGCCATCTAGCGGCCCCTCTGAAAAAGGCGCCCTCCACCGGCTCCTCCAGGCTCTGAGATCCAAACCAAGCCGGCGACAGCCGAGGAAAAACGCTCGCTAGTAGCAGAAAAACAGGAAGGAAAGCGACGGCGGAAGAGAAAAAGGCATCGGGATCGAGAACGGGTTCTCAAAATTGTGCAGATGACCCAAAAGAAAAGAGAGAGAGAGAGAGAGAGAGAGAGAGAGAGAGAGAGAGAGAGAGACTCTACGCTGCATTCTCCCCCTACTTAAACCTTCCCTGGCCCAGCCCCGCACGGCTGGCCGAGGAGCGCGCCCTTTAAGGCCTGGAAAAGGGAGAATCAGAACCGAGTCCTTTCCAAACCCCACAAGACTGCTTCAAGTTGTGGAGAGTAACAATGATCGGGGAGATCTCCGTGGGGAGAGGGGAGGATGGGACGGGACGGTGAAGGGTCCGGACCTGCGGGTGTGCGTGCACGTGCGGGGCCTTCTAGTTTAGGGCTCCTGGTTCTGGAGGGGTGTGAAAAACAAAGACGGAGCCGGAGCCCTTGTGACCACAAAGTGCCCCTCCTTCGGCCCTTTCTGAGCTCCCCCTTTAGGGCCCTGGGGACCCCAAGCCCCAGGCTGGGTGCAGCGAGGGTCGGGGTGCAGGCCAGGGCCACCATTTTCCCCCTGCCAGGCCGGGAGCCCCGGCCCAGCGGACGCTCTCAGCCCCGGAAAGTTTCCCCTCTCTGTTTGCTTTGGGGCTGTTTCGTTTCTTAACCTTCAGAAATTTATACGCTATAAACTTTTATAGCGGTCATATTCTTTTATTGCTGCGCACACGGCATTGAATTCCTCTCCCGGCCTCTCAGCCTCACTCTCCGGGCCTGCCTCTCTGAATCTCTCCCTTTTATGACAACTGATTTCCCCATCTCCGGCTTCGCAGCCTCCGCATCTTCGCCTTTGTTTGTCCTGAAAGAAGCCACTCCTGGGCTGGGGACCCGCCGCCACCGCCGCCCACCGCCCGAGGCCTCTCAGGGCGCCCTCTCCCCCACCGGCTCGGTCCGGTTCCAGCCTCCTGGCCTTTTTGGTGACTGACTCGGCGCCAGCTGAGCCCTGGGAGCCCAGAATGGAAAGTCAACCTGGTCTACACCCGCTGGAAAGCCCGATCCACTTCGGTCCCCAGCAGAGCCCTCCTTGGCGGCCCCCAGCCTGGACCTGAGCAGCGGGGAGCCGCGTGCCTCCCTCCATCTCTCCACCGACCTTTTCGTTAGAGAGGGGTAGGCCAGGCCCTGCAGGCTGCTCCACCACTGCCAGCCTCTGTCCCCACGCTGTCCCCACCCGAGGGGTCTGGAGGGCTGCAGGGGGTGGGGGATACAGCGGCCTGGATGCAAACTGGCCTGGGCCAGGGGCTTTGAGAACAGCAAGTTGCCTCTGGGAACCCAGTTCAATTCTGGGGTCTGCTTAGGAAGGGAATTTTGTTTTCACCCGAAACCACTGTTCACCTCTCCATGCTCTCCCCCTCCTTTTTTGTTTCCCCTGGCCTCTGTTCACCCGGGACCCACTGAGGCTGGGCCAGGGAGGTGGCAGCAGCAAGGGAGCCCTTCCAGGGCCCAGAGCAGTTTCTGCCTTCCCCTGGCTCCAGGGGTGGCTGCCTCTAGGACTCCAAGACCCAGTTGCTCCCTCCCCAAGCCCAGATCTGTCCTGTGCTCTCCAGGGCCCCATTCTGGGGGCGCCCCGGGGGCCCTGGGCCTAGGCCGGCTGTCTCTGCCCTGCAGTGGAGGGCGCTGCAGGGAACCTGGGGAGGGGGACACAGCAACCTCTGTTGTCCAGTCTGGGCTTTTTTTTTGGCAACTGAGGGCTCCTACCTCAGGCCAGGCGGAGAGGAAGAGGAGGAGCTAGCACAGAATAAGACTCGGAGAGGTTTGTTTTCTAGAGTGATATATATTTTTTGTTCTTTTTCTCTTTTCTTTTTCTTCCAAAACAAACAATTAGAGCTCTAGGCCCCTCACCCCTCCCACTCCCCCCCCACAGAAGCCACAACTGAAAACAATCACCCCCCCCAAAGAAATCACAAAACACAGCACAATTTCACAACAGCCACCGACAAAGCAAAAGAAGTTCTACTGGGATGGCCCCTGGCGGGGTCAGGAGAGGCAGGGGCAAGTCCAGCAGTGGGGGGGGCACCCCAAGGGGGACAGGGGGGCAGAGCTAGCTTTGCTTGGGGCCTGGGTCTTTCTCCTTCGCCCCACTGAACCCCAGCCAGGCTGGAACAGTGGAGGCAAAGCCCAGTGCCCGGCAGCCACCCGCTTGGGGTTCTCCGCCGGCCTGGGGTGGGGGTGGCACACCAGGTGTGCTCGCTGGGGCCTCTGCTGCTCCTTGGCCCGACAGACAGACAGCTAACTCGGAAGCAAGCTGGGAGGTCACTGACTCCGGATCATCCTCCGTGGGATTCTCTTTCGCTGGCCTTCCTGTCTCAGTGGGGCTGACCTGGGGGGCATGGGGGTCTGCAAGGTGTGGCTGGACGCACTGGTACTGAAAGGGCCAGGGAAATGCAGGGCTGGGGAAGCCAGGAGAGCTACAGTCCGTCCAGGGGAGCAGGGCTGATTCCTCACAGCCCAGCCTGCCCTCCTTTTGTTGGAAAGACAGGAAAGTATCATGCAGAGTCCAACATTTCCTGCCACCAACATGAGTGGTGCTGCCGAGACACCTCACAGGGCCCCCACTGCCCTTCCGGCTCCTCGGAGCCCATCGGCGTGGGGGTGGGGGTGGGACGGCCCAGGTTCGGGCGCAGTTGGGCGCTGCATGGGGTGCTGCAGCTTGGGCGGGGCTGCAGCACCCCTAGGCGTCCGTGTCTAGACCCCTTCCTGCTGTGTCAGAGGGCCCAGGCTTGCCCGGTGGCTTTAGGGGGGCATTTCCGCCACACTGGCATCTGAGGGGGCCTCTTCCTTTCCCCTCTGCTGCTCCCCCATTCTGACTGTGGGCTCCCAAGGACACGCCTGTGGCAGGCGCTGAGCTGTGTGGTTGGGGTGTCCTGGGGGACTTTGGATAGGTACAGGGGCAGTGGACCAAGCAGGCTGGAGGTGAGGGACTGGGGCCTCCCAGAAAAATCACAAGGGGACGCTAGGAGCTTGACTAGCTAGGGTCTCTCGCCTGTGACCGCCATCTTCTTAGGAACCAACTACTTCTAGCTTCTAACTGAACCAAAGTTTCTCCTGGCGGCCAGAGAGAAGGGAAGGACACACGGGGGCAGGCGAGGGGAGGACACAGCGCCGGGTGTGCTGAGGGACTGAGGAGGGAGCCCTTCTGTCACCACCACCGGACACTTCCCAGGCAGTGCCGGCTCTGCGGCCAGCACAGGAAAGAGGGTGAGGTGGGGCAGGGCTGGGAGGGGCAGCCGGGATCCTGTCACTCTTTGCCCTGCTCCTTGTTCATTTTCTTCATTTTCATCCGCCGGTTCTGAAACCAGATTTTGACTTGTCTCTCACTGAGATTGAGGAGTCTGGCCACTTCGTGCCTGCGGTCCCTGGTGAGGTACATATTGAACAGAAACTCTTTCTCTAGTTCCAACGTCTGGTATTTGGTGTAGGGGCAGCGCTTTTTCCGGGAGGAGCGGGCGTGCAGCCAGTTGGCAGAGGGGTTGGCTGAAAGAGAAGCAGCGATAGAATCAAAGGAAGGAAGAGGGTGAAGGACCCCAGGCTGGGGACACGGGACACTGTGCCCCTGCTCTCCGCTCCCCATCTTGGGTGGGAGAAAGGGCACCTAGGCTTTGGGGGGTCCCAGAGGTGGAGCAGCTGCTCTGCACAGGTGGAGGGGCTGGAGAAAGTGCAGCCACTCAGCCGCTGAGAGCCCAGGCTTCTGCACCTCCAGGACTTCCAGCCTCCATCTTTCCTCTCTTGCGGCCAAGCTGGTTAGGACTCTGATCACCAGCACCACCAGGCTGGCCAGGGCTGGCTGACCTGACCGGAAGGGTCCCTGGCCTGAGTGTGGGAGGAGACAGGTGGGCTTGGGCAGGGGAGGGGAGCCCAGAGACCCCCCCAGCCCTCTGGCAGCCCCAGCACCCTGCCTGAGTGCACACTGGCATCTGCAGGCCCCTTGTAGGAGGCATCGGTACCCATGCGCCCAGGCCCTGCCAGAGCCACACACCACAAGCGTGGGCCCACGTCTAGATGCCTGGAACAGAACATTCAGCACACTGCAATTCACAGCGACCCAATGCAACCATTTATCAACTCCAGCCCTAGACAGGGGCGCGCCGGGGGCTCCCAGATAACTGATGGTAGCAATACACTCCTTTTCTGCGGCTCAGCTCTGCAGTTTGGTTAATACAAGTTCAGGGAAATGGAGCGGGGCATCACTCCAGTCCCAGGGCGGGGACAGACAGTGGTGGTGGGGAAACTAAAAGCCCCGCGTAACACACCTGGCCTTCCAACCAGCCCTGAGTGTGAAGGGGGAAGAGGAAGAGGTAATCAAGCGGAAGAGGGTCAAAAGGAGGAAACCAAAATATACACAGGCTTCTTTGGCTCCTTAGCGTCTCTCCCAGACCCCTAGAACTCTGAAAAGTTGCCAAATAAAAACTGAGCCAATTAAAAACAACACCCTCACTCTGCCAGCTTCCTTCTCCCCAAATGAAAAGCACTGGGTTATTATTTCTTTTATTCAGTTCATCCTACACTAAGTACCGCATTTTTACCACACCGCCGCACTATTTCCTTAATGGGATTGCCGGGGATGGAACCTGCAGCTGCATTAAATAGGAAAGAGAAACTGCTTATCCTTGATCCCAGCCAAAGGACTGCTTTGCAATCACGGGCTTTCCAGGCAAGGTTTGGGGTCTGGGTGCGGGGTATTTGGGGTGCATGTGCAAGGGGCTGGGTTCCCCAAATGCCAACTCTTAAGGGTCCACCTGGCAGGTTGGAGGACGGCGGGACACCAGCTGGCCACCCTGCTGCTGGGGAGACAAGCAGAGGCCGAGCTCGCGCTCCCTGCTCCCCAAAAGAGCAGGACGTGAGGCCTTCCCCGGCCAGCCGGAGCGGCATTGTTTGGGGCCAAGAGCTCCCAGCCGAGTTGCCCTCCTCGACCTCAGACGCGAACGCAGCAGACCCTCTCTGAGCCGCGCCAAGGAGCACCTTTTGGAAATCAGCCAGACGTGGGGTTCAGCCAGGGGTGCTTTGGGGAGGAGTGGGAGGTGACGAGAGACTACTCACAAGGGGTGAAACTCTCCGCCTCTCCTCAACCCTCTCTCCCCTCCCCGGGGTCCCCCTGGGACGCCCCCTTCTCGCCGCCGGAATTCGGAAGTGATGCCCGACTCCCCGGGAGGCCAGAGGCCGGGTCTGCCGCCCGCGAGCTCCGCGGAGAGCAGCGGGAGAGGGCGAGGAGGCCGCGG